GTATAAGTACACGTTTAGGTTCCGATTAGTAACACGCAGGGGTAAATCGCCACTTCGTCTGCGTACAACCATTTGGTCCACTGTTCAGTTGGTCTAATTGGAAGTAAATCAAAAGAGTCCATGACCCCCTGACCTCTGTCTGCCCTGACTCGTTAGGATTTGATTAGGATTAGGATTAGGGTTAGGATTAGGGTTAGGGTTAGGGTTAGTCAGAAATAGCTAAACGAGCCAGGTCAAACAGAGGTCAAGTAGACCAAATGGTTGTAGACGAAACGCCAATAAACCACACGCAGGCATGCGCTCGTAAGCACGAACACATGCGCGCACTCGCGCACATTGATCAATTCCGTTGACACGACAACACGTCGCGCCATTTTGACAGCAGCTTGACTGTCACGTCTCGATGCATGCCGATATCTACGGATGTGTATCATTAAGTACTTATCAATGCGAACACACACATGCACACACACACGCGCGCGCGCACACACACACACACACACACGCGCGCGCGCGCGCAAGGCGCCACACACCGACGACACACACACACAAACGCACTACATACGCACGACAGCCACGCTAGCACTCTCTCTCTCAACACACACACAGGCACCACACACAACACACGGGGAGTTGTCACACTCGAGCACTGCGACACAAGCGACACGACAGGGGCACACACACACGCGACAACACACACTCCCACGGACACACACAGCCACAGCAACACACACACACCACAACGGCCCACGTGCCGACACACACAAACACATGCACACACGCACACATACGCACATCAGCACCGCTACAGGGCTCTCTCACACAACACACACCGCACACAAGGCACAACACAGGGCCACACGACACAATCACACACACACACACACAGGTAGCTTGGTGCGGTAATGCGCGACGTTCACGGGGCAGCGCGTAGAGAATGACACGCACAGCGCAAACGCGCGTAATCTCGCCACTTATCGTCGGCATCCCTACTTCTCGCGTATGCGCACGTCCGAGCATTAAATTAATGATATCTCACGTTTACTCGGCCTTCTCATATTTTCCTGACCGTTCTGATACTTACCAGTGCCTCTTTGCGTAACACCAGGTATGCGCAGTATAAAGGTTAGAATGTCTTAGAGCACTCACAGATCGTTATCTTCGCCGATATATTATGCACAGATCTGCATTTCAAACGCGATTTTTTTACATATGCTAACATCAAAACCATGTGTTTCTCGCATTTCGCGAGATGCTATCTGCGCGTAACCTGCCTCTGGACTTTGTTAATCGTGTCTAGATGTCGAGACAGGGTACCGGTCTAGAACAGTTTTCGTCACAGAGTCACGTAGCACTCTTTTTGTGAGTATCAGGAATGCAGGCGCAATTTCGCTGTTAATTTTTTGTAGCATATAACAGCAGGAACCTGGGAGGTATTTTTTATGCTGGAATAATCGCTACTAATACTGGAATAATGTTCTACGGCTAATGGGTGAGTGGCGGCCTAATTTTTCTGCGCGTTTCAGTTTCTCGATTTACTTGAGAGAGATTTACTTGATATGTGTGTGTGTGTCTGTGTGTGTGTGTCAGTGTGTGTGTGTGTGTGCGTGTGCGTGTGCGTGTGCGTGTGCGTGTCCGTGTGCGTGTGTGTGTGCGTGTGCGTGTGTGTGTATATATATATAGTAGGTTGTGATAAATGTTAAATGAATGGTCGTCATTTAAAGGTTGTTCTAGTCTCTTTCTCTGACTTTTCCCTTCAGTCTCCTGGGCGACATAGGTAATTTGTGAACTCCCTCCATGTCGCTCGGTTGGCCGCCTTCCGCTCCATTTCCCTCGAGGTGTATAGCTTTTCTTCTTGAGTGCGTGTTAGGTCGGCCGCTTCTTTCCGCAGTGTGTGGCCCACCCAGCCCCATTTCCTTCTTCTCATTCGGATTTCCATTGGGGTCTGCTTCGTCCTTTCCCAGAGTTCTTTATTTGTGATGGTGTGCGGCCAAAATATTCTGAGGATCTTCTTCAAGCATTTGTTAACAAAGCTGTTTAATTCTTTGGATTATTTTGGCTATTAATTTCCATGTTTCACAGCCATACATAATTACGGCCTGAACATTAGAACTGAATATGTTTAATTTAGTTTTGAGGGCGATAGCGCTTGCCTTCCAAACTTTGTTGAGCAATTTGAATGCGCCGGTTGCCTTACCTATTCTGTCCTAGTCCATTATTCTAGTAGTCGCGGTTTTTTCCGAACAACGTGCTACTGTCGAAGCTGCTTTACTCCGTGTGTAACACGGTGTGGTGTATGAGCAGATATACGGCGACGAGACGGAGTAAGTAATGCAGCTGCTGATCGTCGAAATCTCGTTTATACGGCCGCTCAATATCGACAGATGTGTCATAGACGCGCGCCCCAAACTCCGGTCGTTTCCCGCCATGTAATTTGCGCGGCTACATTTGGTGATCGAGACGTGCGTGCGTGCATAGACATGGTTTCTTCCAATGTAATGACCGCTACGTATGCCTGCGTATAGCGCCGCATAAAACAGGGCGACGTGTAGCATCAAAGCCACTGTAAAAGGATACTTGGGCTTCTGATCTCCGCGGCTGACCTTTTACGAAATTAGGTATTATCGGGTAATCCTTTCTACGGGATTGAATGTCCAGTTGTATTTTACACTTCATCATTATAGAAATAACGTCCACGAAAACTTTCATATTCCGTTGGAAATTTCTTATTTTAGAAATTTTAAAACTCATATGGTGAAAATTAATTGCTCAAATGATAGGGTACATTGCTAGAGTCGATCATTAGATGCATTGGTGAATAGATGTAGACGGCTCAATGCAATATAAAGGAACGAACGGCTTGTGGCCATAATGGCGCAACGTCTTTGACGACTAAACTTCTATGGGTTCTCACATACATGTCGTCACTAGCTATAAATATATTAGAGATCTAGAATTTATACGGGTGCACAAATCTATACATGTGTGCAGTGCATATACACATATATGCGCGCAGACACGCACACACACACACACACACACACACACACACACACACACACACACACACACACACACACACATCACATCAACGATCACACATATATATATATATTATATATATATATATATCAATCTATATGTATATATACACGTATATATATATATTATATAAGTATTATATATACAATATATATTGCAAGAAAGCGACTACTGTGTCCTTTACTATTACAGTTACATTGGAACAGAAAACATAACACTAGCAGCTGATTGTCTGGCAATAAACTGTAATATATAATGTAAGAAAATCTGCTTATAATCGTTGCATGCCATCACTATGTGTGTGTGTGTGTGTGTGTGTGGTGTGTTGTGTGTGTGTGTGTGTGCGTGCGTGCGCTGCGTGCGTGCGTGCGTGTGGCGTGCGTGCGTGCGTGCGTGCGTGCGTGCGTGCCTTTTTGTATCATGTAGTTAGGATGAAAATAGAATCAAACTCGTGTACTTCTGAGCTAGATTACTACTATTAATCGTTGCGTCTGCAACACATACACATTCGCGCACATGCATGTTCACACATCCATACACACACAGACGCGCGCGCACGCTCGCACGCACACGTACATGCAAATATTACGAAGCCGTCCTGCCGTCACATGACAGCGCGGACAATTTCTACTACGTAAGCCGTCGGCGGATCGAGTAAAGAGCTAAGTGAGGAAGGAAGCTTAGTGAGGAAGGAATACGCAGCACGGATATTAGCCGGGGAGATTTGTGTAACCGTGCGACGCTTTCATGTGCATGCACGTGTCGCTTGGATTTACCTACCCTGGATACAACCGTAGATACACGCAAAATAACTAACCAGGAGAGAACAATAGTCGCCGTAATGTACAATTATTGAATGGCCTCGCACAGCTCGTCATAGGGTTAGGTGTTATACCATATTTCCTTCATTGTAACATTCGCATTCAATTCAGTAAGCTAGAGTTATTAGTTCAGTAAGAGTTATTAAAGGTCGACAGGCAGAGGGTGAGGTTTACAGCAATTGGACGCGATTAATATTCAGTTTAGGACTCTGCAATGTTATCTTTACTTGAATCATGATCTCAATAGTGGGGCGTAGCATCCAATGTGGTGTTTAGTGGTGATCCAGAGAGGATTCAGGGATGTCATGCCCGTTTACCTCTTTCCTGACAGCAAGCTTGACTTTTGCAGTGTGACAGCAACTTTTCCCAGCTCTCATCGCGAAATCTGTGGTGTCACCCCCAACCCCACCACCCACCCCGTATCGTTTTCACTGGACTCCTTTCATCCAGAATTTTTGGATACGACCATGATTTCTAAACAGGATAGCGCGTAAATTAATGCGAATTTTATTTTATCGCGGGAATTGTTTTTTTAAACTATATTTGAAATATTATTGAAATATAGAACTATTAGAATATTATTGAATATAGAACTATTAAAATATTGCTTAATATAGAACTATTATTGAAATATAGTATATGGAATGCAATACGCGTATCTTCGCGCTACAGTGCAGAACAGTACTCTACGTAACGTAGCTAATCATCCCGTCGTATCTAAATGCATGCGTTGCTTCGTGTGTCCGTTACAGTCTCTTTCTGCAACATGAGAAAAGCGACAGCAAGCATTATATGACCGCGTTATATATAGGTCACTGGGGGTGATTTCAGAATTCCCTCCACATCTAAGTACGTGTGTTCTGTCATGCCTGCGTTACAGACTCTTTCCGCAGAACAATCCAATCGACCTCAAGCGATAAACAGTAAACTAACCTAAGAAACCGACTTATCTGCACTTTGCAGGTTATTTTCGCAGCACTATCAGAACGATATCAAACGACAAACAGTAAATCTAATTATCTAACCTAAGAAACCGACCTATCTGCATGCACTTTGCAGGTTATTCTTGCAGCAGAACAATATCAAACGACAAACAGCAAAACCAACGTAAGAAACAGACCTATTTGCGTTTTGCAGATTATTTCTTCAGCACGAGGAGCTGCTCGCCGTCTTCAAGAAGAAGTTCAAGGACGTGCCGGTCGATCAACTCGCCAAAAGTCCCGAGCTGGAGAATCACGCTTCGCAGGTGATGTCGACGCTCGATGAAGCCATACACTCGCTCAACAATCTCAACTTCTTCTTTGAGCTGCTCTACACGATCGGCGTCACGCACCGCGACATCGCTGGCTTCAGACCAGAGTATTTTTGGGTGAGTACGCGCGGGGCCTCATTGACCAGTTATTTTGGGTAAGCACGCCGAATATTTTAGGTCAAGCACACGGGGTATATTAGGGTAAGCACGCCGAGTATTTCTGGTCAAGCACACGCGCGGGGAGTATATTTTGGTAAGCACAGGGAGTATATTTTGGTCAGCACACAGAGTACATTTGCGCAAACACACAGAGTACATTTGGGCAAGCACACGGAGTATGTTTGGGTAAGGACGCCGGGTAATTTTGGGTAAGCACACCGAGTGTTTTTGGCAAGCACACGGATTATATTTGGGTAAGGACGCCGAGTATTTCTAGGAAATCACTCCGAGTATTCATTGAGTAAGCACACCCGAGAATTTTTAGTAAGCCCATCGAGTATTTATAAGCTCACTTAATTGGTATTTCTGAGTAAGTACACCGCATCATTGCAGGCTTCCGCCCTGGACAATTCTTGGTAACGTTATCATGTTATTGCCTAACACAGGGACGAATATTTCAATGGTATGATAGTCTATTGCATCAAATATATAGTCCGAAATTTGTTGAAAACCGCAAAAAAATGATAAAGGGAAAGTAAGGTAGAAATATTAATGTAGACACAATGAATGTGAATTTTTGTAGTAATTTTTTTGAGAAAGTATAATTATGGCTCCAAAATAGGGGAATTTTAGTGAAATACTTGTGTTTTGTGTAGTAGATAAAACGAGTGAAACGTGCAGTGTGTGGCATAGGTGTTACGTCTTGTACACGTCACGTGTCATCTGCGTTGTTAAGCGCGTCACGCATGACACGGGTGTCGTTACGGGAGTACTATATACTACAGTGGTAGTGTATACACGGGTAATCCTACATTATCTACATCTTATCAAGAGCTAATAATACCTTATAATAACCTATATAATAACCTAATAATACCTAATAATAAGGTATTATTAGCTCTTGATCGTATTATATACAGCTGAACTAATTTCAGTTGATTCTTTTTTTGCCGGCACGTTTCTTTTCTCGCACGTTTGTTACCATGCGTGACAGCTAAGCAATCACTGCAAACCCACGCATCGACTGCTCTGCAGACGTGATGCTAATTCCCTGCGGAACTTTCCCGGACAACAGACTAACTAGTCTTGCCTCAAACTTAAGCCCGCTGCCAATAAATTGCCTCCTCGTGCGAGTCTGATCGATTGACGGCAAGTCGAGAAATTATTTTCCACACGCGAGCGAGAAGTTGAAGTGCGCTTATTATATCCTCCTTTCTCGCGCGAGTCTTTGAGAAGCTTAAAGCGAGCTCCGCAGTGCACTGTATGCGGTTGCAAATGCCAGCGAGAATATAATAGTTATTTGTAATTGCAGAAAGTTATCTCGGTTGGAATCGCAGTGGAAAATTGGCAAAGCCCGTGCAATAACGACGAACGTACATATGAACCTTCATCAAATAACAACTAGAAGAATATTTTTTTCAATTGTAATAGTAACACGTCACCTGATTTGTTTTCTGACGACTTCATGCGTACAGGTCATGGTTCTTGCTAATACTTTGTTGACTGATGTTTCAGATTTCCCTCAGTTAGTATAATGAAAGGCTACTATTAGCTATTAATACAGTAAATAATATAGTAAAACCTAATATAGTAAATGTCATCGGATAGGCCTAGTATTGGACATTTACTATATTAGGTTATAATGTCGATTTTATGCTCCGTTATGGGCACTATCGGAATAGTTGCTCCGCAAACATGCTCCATATTTCTAGACCTATTTTGCGCTTGTCTATATATAGGTACTAACTGTCATTCTTGGTGTGGCCACTCGTGCTGTCACCACATCAAGTTTTTGTGTAGGCGCAGCTCTGCCTATGTAATCCTTCGCTGTGCAAAAACCTCCTGTGCCTTTATTTTGTTATGTTTGTTTGTTTGTTTGTTTTATGTCTGTCTTGTTGTTTGTTAATGATTTGTTTGCTTCTCCTGTGTCTTTCTTGCTGTGCTCTATGTGTGTGCGCGCGTGCGTGCGTGCGTGCGTTGAGTGACGTGAGTTTCTGTAGCGAAGCAAAAGAGCTGCATAAGTAGACCTAGCGTAGGCTTATCTTACCTATATGCAAAAAAGCTTGCCTTTTGCATATAGAAAAAGTATACTGAACATTTTCAGCTTATTGAAGAAATTTCGCCATTTATAATACGCATTATTAGAGTAAGTGCATCTACTAGATGGAGGGGAGAATATATATATATATATATATAGTTGTAAGTAATGGTGTACATGTGTGGACGTGGATAAGAGACCGGGAGGCCTTTGTTAGA